AGATACACGTGAATAAAATTTTCACGAAAATATATTTTTGATGTGGCATATTCCGTTTTGTTATTTTGAATAAAAGAAATGTTGGTAGTAGCGCAGTCATGAATTGCATAATCCGCCGATTCGCATTTCAAAACCATCAATATCATATACCTCAAATTAACTCAGCATATTCACGAAAGCACAACCCTTAGCACGAGAATAGACTCGTCGCATGCGATCCATATCGCAGTCATAGCTCGTCACGCAATTACATATCAGAGCCGCAGCACATTCCTCTTGGTCAGCTATTATAAAAATGTTTGCGAGGTAAAAGTCGCATTTAAGAGAGGGCGGAGGGGGTAGGAGGAGAGCTGCGCGGCCAAAATGAATGTGCAGCAATAGCCGGGAGGCCTCAACTGCCCGAAATCAGTGCAGCGCAGACGCGGATACCCACACGCATACAGGTAAGAAAAAATTTTTGGACGATATGGAAAGCAGGGTAATAACATAGCTCCTTGAAGCTTTCTTTCGAGAGGGAGAAAGAAGGAGCGTGGAAGGGCCTCTATGGGCGGCGCTGAACAGTTTCGCGCCTATCGTTTAGCCTGGATCTGAGATTGCGGCTAACGCCCCTTGGCGATATCGTCGTTGCGCAGCTCTTTTAACCCCCTAAGCTCCTTCTTTCTGTCTTTTTTTCCTTCTTTTTTATTGACTCCCTTCTACTTCTTCTTCTTGTTCTTCTTGGCCAGCGCTTGGCTGCATGCTGTGCGGTTATTGTTTTCTGCTTTCTATTTTTTTTACGTCTGAAATTGAGGGGTTGTTTGCATACTCGTTTTCTGCCCCTCTGTAGACCGAAACGCGCGGCGTGGTAAGTTTTATTTGTGGCTTAATAGGCCTCCGCTATAAAGCTATACTCTAACGCGTAAACATTACTTTATCAGACAAAGTTTTTTCATGCTTCGTGCGTGTGGTCGAGAAGTCTTTTGTTTACGTCTGCGAACAGTTTTAGTATCAGGTCTATGATATAAGGAATTGGTATTCAGCTTAGTCAAGAAAAACAAAATACAAGCTCTTGGATTTTTAAAATCAATGTATGTTACTACACAAGTGAACAAAATAAATAATCAAAAGTACAATATAAATCACCGATAGTGAAATTGAACAATGAATCAATGTGAACAAAATAGAGGTTATAGTAAAAACAAAATACGGGAATAAATAAGAGAGCGTGAGCCGGTGATTCGTCCGGGTCCTTATGCACCACGCTGCTCTTGCTTCGTACAGGGAGTGCAATAAAAGCCAGTAGGTGTAGAAAAAGTGAGCTGTAGCTCTCCAGCGCTTCAACTACGTTTTACAGTCGCTGAGTGTACACCTCATTGTAGTTTTTCCAACATAAACTGTTGAAACAGTAGGTCTGGTATCGTGTTATAAAACTGCATTGCTAATAACTTGTGGTGGTTGTTAAGCTAGAAAGTTACAATTTCTATTACCATTAATTGACAAAAAAATTTAGAGCCCCATCTATGATTGAATGATACACGATTGCGAAGCAAGAATATAATTTCACAATGCATCAATACCTCGTCTTCCCAATTTACACGGCCCGCGACAAAATTACAACTCGGCAGCAGCGCACAAGGGAAAATTCGTCGAAAAGTATAAGAATAAAAGTTGGCGAGACAATGCAAGAGAACTCGGTCCCGGACATTGTTATAAAAGCGCGCGTGGCGCATGTATGTGCGAGTCGGGGGTGTGTCTCAGTGGGCGTGAGAGTCCGCGCGTGCTCTCTCTCTCTCTCTCTCTCTCTCTCTCTCTCTCTCTCTCTCTCTCTCTCTCTCTCTCTCTCTCTCTCTCTCTCTCTCTCTCTCTCTCTCTCTCTCTCTCTCTCTCTCTCTCTCTCTCTCTCTCTCGCCAGCTGCACGACGGGCGCGTGCCATAGCGCGTCCAAAAAATCGGGCACAGCTACCAGTACAATTGGCGCGCAAGGAGACCAAATGTGGGGCGTCAACCTTTACTTGCACAATAACAACAATGATGCCGGAGGGCACAAACCTTTCAAGTTTCGACATGCGACGGTTACTCCACGCACGACTTTTTGATCGCGCGAGCTTAACGTCGTGATAATTGATGGGTTGTACTCGCTCGCATTTGCCTGCACGTATACGTACGGCGCTTTAGATTTTCTGCATGACAATTGATTGTTTTTAATATGTGAGTGCTTGTGGAAATGAATTGCAAAAGAAAAAAATATTTAGCCGGTTTGCTTCTGTAGTATTTATACATTCGTTACAATACGCGCAAACGTATAGTCGAACGCATGATGCAACGTTCAGCTGTTGGTGTTTAATGAGGCATTCAATCGACCGGAAACGTACATCTCTGCAACTTAGGCAATCGGATCCATCTCACCTATCTTTTACGGCTTTATTTTTCATTTCCAAAGTTATCGTTTCCTGTCACTCGAGGCGCCTGCATCTCCACCCATAATACTGCACCTTTTAACGATCTACGTCGTTGCTTTTTGCGCATTATAAGTCGTGCCGTCGTCTAACGAGTCGAATATAAATGTCACCGCAAAGACTGCCCCTTTGGCTGGTTCTTTAAGGGCCAGTGGGTGGAGTGCGAAGGACTTTACCATGTTTTGTGGGCTACGGTCGACTGCATTTTTCGGAAATATCACTGGCGTTAAATGCTCGTTAGTCATGGATCTTCTAGGCCATTGTACTATTCAATTTCCCTGCTTGTATTTTATTTACAGTTATTTTTTTGTTTGTACTTGGTTTTCTGTCTGTGCTTTTGTGTCGATATTTATTTACAGCTGTTACAAAAGAACGTTCGCATGCATTTTTCGTGAACGAGGTTCCGCGTTGATATAGAAAAATCGCGGACGTGAGGTCAACTATGAGCATACTTACATTGATCGGTATGTAAATAGTAAGCAGAAGTAGAGCAATTTGCATAATTCAAGGAATCGACAAGACAATAATTTCCAGCCAATTGCACTGATCGTTAATAAAATGCAGTTGATTCAGATAACGATTCGGTGCACGGCAGATACATCCAAAGGTCCGATCGCCGAAATCAAAGGCGCACTTCCTCAAACGAATTAGGCATGTACACAGCTGCGAACGTGTTATTTCTGTCGATTGTCTCGATACAAGCCACTTATATCGCTCGTGGCGCAAATCAAATGGTTGCCATACGTATAGCCCTGGAGCTTCGAAATCCTAATGCACAGACGAAAGAGATAGAACGCGCTGCGTAATGACTACAATCATCGGCATCGCCGATACAATGCTATCCCGCTCTGGCATCGCGTGGATGCGTTTTCTTCGCCATGATTACACGCAGATGCGTAAGCAGCTAATCATAGAAATTCGCGTCCGCGTAGCTGGCTCTTTTGTTTTTCTTCTCTCTCTCTCTCTCTCTCTCTCTCTCTCTCTCTCTCTCTCTCTCTCTCTCTCTCTCTCTCCTTTTTTTCGCGGACCCGCGCTTATATACATATAGAACTCCCAAAAAATAGAGCGCGCTCGTTATGTGCCAAATGACAGAAAATTACAGTGTCGCGCACGCAGATCTATCGGCTATATCGCCTTCCGTTCGATACTGCCGCCACTCTCTCCACCGGAATCACGGGCTTTTTAAAATGGGCTACTTTTCGAAACTGTATTCACGCCCACAACAGACTCGCGTAGACGAGGTATTAACGGGTTTCACCAGACGTGTGTCTACGTCGGTTTTCGCTTTAGAATGGCCCCTTCCGAAAAGTTTTTCGATTTAATGAGCGAGCATTTCGCCGCGGCTTTCTAGGCCACGCAGCTGCTGTCATTACGTTTATTTGAGTGTGCGCGCGCGGACACTTAATTTCGATGCTGTTCGAACTAGCCGTTATTACTGCGGTATTTGGCTACTCGAATTGTTTTAGTTCGATCTGCGCCTATTTTTTCGAAAATATCAATTTTCTGGTTTGTTCCGAATTTTTATAGATCTTGGATTTTTTATTTGTATATTTAAAGGCAAATAAATATCAAGTATTGACAAATTATTTTTTTATTTCAATTACATTTGCTTTTTCGTTACTTAATAAACATTGTCTGGCGTTTTTAAGACAAACATGGTAAAGAGATAGCACATGACTGTTGCACACATAGTCGTATTATGAAAGAATTGGGTTTAGGTATTTTACCATGTCATGCGTCGACGGATATTATCTATTTAATCAAATTTAAAGTTTACTATTTCCGAAACAAGTTTCAACCAGATTTCAATGGAAATATTTTTGGAACAAGTTGCGTCATGTAGCCTAATACTGTAAAATTCATTAAAATAATAAAAAGTTTTTTTTAATGCAATGAATTTACTGTTATTGATACAAGAAATACGATCCATATGACATATTACGAACATTCTCGTAGGTATTCATAATTAGTTTTCAGATACGAGTACATTTATTTATTAACGTGTACATTTATTTTAAATAAATGTACACGCTAATATAAGCATTGATATTGACAATATATTACATTATTAACGATGACGATCTTAGTCATGAAACGTTTATAACTGTGATCAAAAATATCATTAGTCGTTTGATAAGATCGATATTTAAGCAATTTTGACACGTGCAAGAAGATGTCGTCAATTGAAGGTCGAACGATGTTTAAAATGATGACCATGATTAAGCACCCATCAGTTATATCGAGATGATTGTTTACGCCTCAAGCGATACTCACCGTGAATTTCATTAGTTTTATATATAAGTTTATTATCGTTGTTTTTCGAGTATAAATTGCAACACCTCCGCTTATTTTGCACTTTTTTACCATCAATTTACTTTTATTTTTATTTTTGTTACTTGACAGGAACTTATGAGATATACATAAAGTTAATTAATGCACATTATTGACTAGGAAAACGTATAAACATTCATCTAATAAGTGCATAAATATATTGTAAGTTTATTTACACTATCACAGTACAACAGAGGTCACAGTACAACAATACACATTCCATTCCACGCCAAGTTAACATTTACAAGGCGTATCGTTCACTTTAGGAGATTTCCGTGATCTCGATTTTCTATGCAAATCATCCTGAATCTCATGGAATTTCTTTCCCTTTGTTTCTAACAGCCAGACTATGGCATAGGGGATCCCCAGCGCAGATAAGAAAGCGTGCGTCCAGAATGCATACGCTTCACCTGCATAATCAACCATAGGTTGATAAGACTTAGTAACGACGAATCCAATAATCGATTGCATCAAAACTACCCCACACACAGCTATGCTCTTTATGTTCTGCGAGAACATTTCACTGAACAGAGTGCCAGGAATTATTTCAAATCCGATCGCATACGCAATCAAGTAGCAAACCAGTGACGACAATGCCAGCCATTGTAAGACGTCGGCGTCAAAGTTTAGCTTCAATAAATAAAAATGTAATCCTAATGTTGTCAAAGATACCGCAGTCCCAACGCTCGACAAAATGACGAGTAACCTGCGACCTAATCGGTCGATCAGACTCATCGCTAACAAGACTGACGCCACTGATATGAGATAACTGTAAATGACGATAACTTTTGGCTGAATTATACTGACTTGGGCACGTTCTAGTATCTTCTGCATATACGATTTAATGGTAAACGAGCCGCAGGCATTAGGTAGTGCGCCAGCAATACCTACGATAATCAGTGATTTCCTAACCGCCGGAGCTTTCAATTTTTTAAGCTTATCACTGATTCCTTCACTCGTCTCAACAAACTTTTCTATGTCGTTCAACTCTTTTTCCACGTCGACTTTGCCACGATAAAATTGAATCGACTTTTTCGCAGCGGTTACATCATTTTTCTTCATTAAATAGTACGGAGTATCCTTCAGCCAGAGAAACATCACAACACCAATTAAAACTGTCAGCAGGTATATCGAACTTGACACTTTGATCTGCAGATATGTTTCGGCAATGACTCCAATTATGGTTCCCGTAGGACTGCCAACAATCGAGAGAACAACCAATGCGCCGCGTATTTCCGGAGCGGCAACTTCACCGAGATATATCGAGAAACAACACGTTAAAATTCCATAAGCAATCCCACCTATCATTCGTGATATGAATAACCAAACAATGGTGTTTGCCACTAGAAGACACGTCCAGGAGATAGCCATTAACAAATAAGTGAATATTATTGTTTTCCTACTTCCAATGTATTCCATGACGACGCATCCAAAAATCGAACCAAATGCTGCTGCTATCGACGTGATCGAAATCATCCATGAGATGTCAGACTCTGTTGCCGGTATCGATGAGGTTTCTAATGTGAGACAAGCGAAGTTGGGCGACGCCCAGCCGACGTAAATGCCAAGTTGCACTTTCAACATGAGCACTGCAATATCATTAAACAATGTTTGTAGTGCAATGTTTTGGTGGCAAGACACGACGCACACGCATAAAAAGCATAGTGTAATACCTGCTAAAGCTGCGATCCATTGAACGTGATTGGTACATTTCATCAGGCTCGCTGCTGATGCTTTGAATGGACTCTTGTCAGTTTGTTTCATCGTGACGTTTATAGTGTGTTTGTAAGCAAGAGAAACTGGCGACTGACTCTTTTCCCTGACTTTCCAGATGCCGCAATGAAAGTCGTCGATCGAGCAGTTATTTATAACTACAAATAAAAGTTTTATTGGTTTTTTGATAAGATTGTGAAGACTCATGCATGTGTGTATTTAGCATTGGAAGGGAGAATTTCCCAAAGAAATGCGTTATCCATAATCGGAATATCGAACAAATTTGAAAAATAATCTTCGTCATTAGTTACCGCGCACATATATCGCAATTTTTTATACGTATAAGATTATCTGGACATTCACCTATTTGGTTTGTTATGCCTCACGAAATATGTTTTTCGTCGTCACTGTCGCAAAATCAATGCGAGTGTCATGTCATGCAAGTTGTGAAGTTCCACATTAAATGGGCAATAAAGCTATATTCCAGATTATCAACTGATTTTATATCGTATCTTCCAAAATTTCCGGTGATTTGCTACGTTTCCGATAAAGCAACACATTCCTATACACGTTTGACTTGTGTTGTGTCTCGATCAAAGTGATAAAGTGTCTCTTTCGATTCAGCTTAATGTGACTTCATACGTTAACGTGTTAATGAAAATGATTCGAGGATTGCAATGCATTTGACGTAGCCTAAGTTGTATTAAGGAAAAAAATCTGTTTTTAACATAATGTTATCGCGGAACAGTGCATCGAACTGTGCCCGGCTCGAAATGTGAAGCAGGTAATGTGAAACCAAGCAAACGATGCAATCCGGCTGTACATACAAGAAATACTTCTGATCCTGTCTAAATAGACTTCTCGTTCGAATCAGTAACCTTTTGAAAGAGATCCAGCTACTTGTCCAAAACGAGCACCGCAGAAAATTGCGAGCGTTTCCGGCAAATAATTGCCGAGGCCAATCGTGCGTCGTACATATACGCAAAAGAAAACGACAATCGGCTCCCTTTGCTCTCTCGCATCCACGCCCATCATTCTCTCTTTCGCTCAGTATATGCGACGATTGTGCCGTGTATACCTTTTGGCCGAGAGACGTAACGCACAGTATAATGCATGCGCTGAGTGGGCGTGCGGAAACGTTGAAAAAGAAGGAGGCGGATCAATTATGCCGCTCTGTCGCTCCCTCGATTTTGCGCGATCGACCCTTTAAAAGTCTTTCCTCAATGGGACACGGACACAGACGTCTTATGGCCTTTTTCTTTTCTTCTTCTGCTCAGTCTTTTTATGGTTTCTCGGCTCGGTTTTCTCGGATCTCTCGATGGCAATGAAGGAAAAAGGGAAGGAAGTGAGGAAGCTGCTCATTCAAAGAGAGAAAAAGAGAGAGAGAGAGAGAGTAAGAGAGGAGAGGTGAGATCTTTCGGATGTGTCAATTCCAAGGAAGAGAGTCTCCTAGTTCAAATACGCCTTTCGATCGGCTCGCTTCGTCTTTTTTTCTGCGAGCCATCTATTTCTTCCTTTCTCATGATAATTCGCAGCGCTCGACTCTTTTTGTACAGTTCTTTTTCTTCGCTTCGAAGTGGAAGCTCTGTTTACTTGTTGCACGGCGCTTATTTTCTAGGCTAAGACGAAGCTTGTCACTAGGGATAATAAATACAAGTATTTATCAAACACTCGCCAAGGCTTTCGAGATTTCTGTTAAAAAATGCTCTTAATGTTCGTTACGTTAAATATACCTTAGGATAGAGGTGATGTTTTTTCCACCCATGTTTCGTTTCATTCAGAGGTAAACGATTTAAAATCTAGAGGGATTCAACATTGACGTAGTCAAAAAAGGTTTAGTTCGGAAAATTTGAAATGCAATCGAGTTACCGTACGGAAAATTTCGAAAAAGAAGTTGACATAGCGCATAAGCTCAGAGGTATTAAGGAACAGCGATGACGAAGTAAAGACTTTTTCTACGAAGAAGTCGTATATAATTAGGTCCTCTCTTTCTCGCAAGTGCACGTGCGAAAGAACAAGATGCTCGTTTGCGACTCGTGTATATATATACTCTATACTGTTTTTCGCATTTCGTTGTACGTACGGAGAGTTTCTGGGAAAGTTTCGTCGTATAAAAAGGCATTAAACGTCGCAAGGCTCGTTACGTTTCTTGTGTCGCTGTACGAGGGAAGACGCGGGTAAGGAGCATTGCTTGGCTACGCTATGGTGTCGCGCCGCGTCCTTGTCACTCTTGGATTGTCATTTTGTTTAAAGCTCGTTACAGCTCGCACTCGTTTCGTCGCGCGCTCGCGTGAGTCACGTTACACTTTGCGTCTCAATCAGGTCGAGATGTACGCGCATAACAGCTTGTCTCCAGTTTGCAAAGCAGCCGACGTCGTTCGTGTACTACGCGACAATAGATACAGCTAAGAACAATTACGTTGTGCACGGAAATTCACAGTGAGTTTTCCGACTAAAGGATTTGGCCCAGTAAATCACGATTTTCGAACAATGCCGCGTTCGGCTTGGTCGCGAGAATTCACGGCATACTCGGAGCTGCCTGAAGAGATGAACAGAGGGAGCTCCCTGTTAATGTTGCGGCTCCGATTACCCGCTACGTAAAATATAAGCATTGGGATAGCAGTCGACAATGTAGGCACTGCGTATATGAAATACTTTCAACAGCCGATTCGTATTGACCAAATGTCGTCGTAAAATTGTAATCATCGCGCCTACAAAAGCGTTTGAAAGTTCGCGTAATATAGTGAAAGATATAAGCTGGACTGTTCAGCAGCTATGAGTTACGCGCCGCTGAGAAAGACGTAATGCTAAAAGTCAAGTACACTCTTGCTCGAGTGTGCAGATATATATATATATATATATATATATATACCGCGGGACGAGATCTCTTGGAGGTTTCCACCATACCGCTCGGCGTGCAATCCTGTAAATCACGAGGTTCTCTACACGGCGCTGAGATAATATTTTCTTAACACCTCGTTGAAGGAGGAGAGAAAGGGTTTGGGATGGTTAACGTACTCTTCCTACGTGTATACGTACGTTTACGCGCGCCGCTGCAAAAGCCCAACGTAAATCCATCCTGATTGCCTCTCTCTCTCTCTCTCTCTCACTCTCTTCCCACCGATCGCCTTCTCACTTGCCTTTTATTTACACTTTTCACCCGACGATTGCTTGTACCGGTAATTTTTCTTGTATTTCTTTTTATCTTGGCAGCTGTTGCAGCCTCGCGCTTATAATTTTACGATCGCCATTGCCGTGATTTCGAATCGAGGATGTAGCTGATTAGTCGCCTTGCAGCAGTGAATTAACTCGCGCGTTCTACTTTTGATTGTGCGACGAAAACGCCCCTGTGCTTTCATTTTTTTTTTTCGAGGAGACAAATGAAAGTTTCTAGCACCGCGTTAAGAAAATTATCCGATAGAGGTGACATCGTTATGTCTATTTTCATGACATTGTAAAACTCGATTTCGCCCGGTAAGTTTTGCAACCGGTTTAGTCAAAACTTATCGTTGAGTCTTCGCGGCAGATTGGACGTACGACGTAACGATTTCATGCATTAGCTGTGAAAAAACAGCTCTTTACTATATTGAGCGTGGCGCGTGTGTAAACAAAAATGACTCGCGCTTATCCTTTATCCACGCCGGACCTTCTCCAAAAACATGTTTTTTTAGTTGTCTCTGCGAGCCAATAAAAAGTAGGAATTACGAGTTAATGAAGAAAAGAGCGGGAAGAGCCAAAAAAAGATTGTACGGTCAGTGAGTCGCTCCTACAGCGTCACTGCCTCTCACCCTGACTGTTGACTTTTTGTGGCTTCTGTCCATTAGGCAGATAAAAATCGCTGGACGCATCGCTTATCTCAGTTCTTTACATCTTGCGCGGCGAATTAGTCCGGTAGTCGTCTGTTCTTCGTCAGATCGAGTCCCTCTCATCTTTCGTCGCGCGCGTAGCTTTCTTTCGTAATCCTGTGCTGTGCTCGTGCATCTGCTCTACTCGGCGTGGTATTATGGGCTCAGCCGCTGACTACCTCGGTGAATTGATCGCGGAGATGTAAATCCATAATTGCTCAATCTGCTCTTCTACGCGTACTCATGCTGACCACATTATTTCTCCTAAGTGCAAGCGAAAATGACCGTTTTCCTTGAGACATACCGTTACGTCGTTGTTACTCGTGGAATGATTGAAAATGACTAGTCAGTGAATGTTTGTTGGATAGAAAAATCAACGATCCTGTATTTTAGTTCAAAACGTCTTCAAATTTCCATTGCGAGCGAGTTCCGTAACAAAATACCAGTTTAAAAAATGCGACAGAGCAGAGTGAAGGGAATAGATGAAACCATGAAGATTTAGTCGGCGTCGCTTCATCCGTCAAGCATCAAAGCTACCGTACAATATTCCAACTCTTGGCGCCAGGCAGACCTACCAGAAGAAAGTGCGAGCGCGCCCACACAGCCGAAAAGCATCGCCGCGACGCGCACGACTTTTAACAATTTTTCATTCACGCTCGAGCTGAAAGCGCAGCTTTGTTCCCTAAAGTCGTGATGATCGCAGGCGTCGACGAGAATTTCAATTTTCCACGGCGATCGTCGCTCTGCTACGAGCGCGCTAGACGAACGTTCGTTGGCCGCTCAGGTAGCGGCGCCAGCAAGCCAACGAAGAATGCCGTAGCTGTCACGTTTACCCGTCGGTAAAGGGATGAGCCTGTATCTGTTGATCTGATAAGGCCCGTACACCTTGCGAATCGTGGCGCGTCTTTCACGGTGACCAGGCGGAAAACTCTCGGAAATTTTTTCGTATCCCGCGTCATCGTTGTTGCTGGAAATTTCTCGAAAAAAATATTTTTATGCCAGCATTCACTGCCTTATATATACACTCGAGGTTTTTTCTTCTTTCCCGGCTTTGTTTCGAAGTAAAAGCCCTCCCTTAATGGAGGCGGTTTTTCAGCTACTACTCTTGAACAGACAGCCGTGATTAATCGACTTTCTCGATTTCGTGTGCTGCCGTAATAGATGTAGAAAAAATCGCCGAGAAAATTGTCTTTGCATCTGTATGATGGATCCCAACGCCAGTTTAATCTATTCTGTGGCGCCAAGATCTCGTATATACGTATGGTTTTTTAATATAAATTATCCTTTTCGATGCGTCCTGGCGCCTTATACCATTTTTCTTTTCCATGCATATCACCGATGGATTGTTCGTTATAAATTACA